CAGAATTCTCCAGCCAGCAGAGCTGGCTGGAGAATTCTGGGAGTTGAGGTCCACAAGTCTTAAAGTTGCCAAGTTTGGGGACCCCTGGTCCAAGGCATATGGAAGCTTTTGACCCCTGTAATATCTTCCCCCTTCTCCCAGTGGCTAATTCCCCCTTTTTTGCCCGACCTACAGGTCTTCCAAGAACCCAGTGGACAATGCTGGACTTTTCTCGTTTGCTACCTATTCTTGGTTTTCCTCTCTAATGCTCCAAGGATACCGGCACAAAATCGATATAGCCATGTTGCCTCCTATCTCTTACTACGACAGTGCCGAACCAAATGCCAAAAGGTACGGCTGTTGGGGACGCGGCTATTATTTCTAAAATCTCTCTCAGCCCACCCCAATCTTTCTGGGGTGAAGGAGGTGGCCTGGTTTGCATTTGTGGGACTTTGAAGATAACAAACCTAATATCCCGTTTCCCTCAAAATAAGACCTACCCGGAAAATAAGTCCTAGTGTGATTTTTCAGGATGCTCGTAATATAAGCCCTACCCCCAAATAAGCCCCAGTTAAGATCATTAGCCAGTCGGATGCATTTTAGTACCATATTTTCCTCAAAATAAGACCTAATGTGTTTTTGGAACCAAAATTAATATAAGACCCAGTCTTATTTGGGGGGAAACAGTTGTTGATAAGAAAATAACAAGTCTGTTGGCATCCTGCTGTATCTTTCCCAAAAGGAGAAGGAAAACAAGGCAGTGGGCCAAAGCAAGACTTTGTAATTTCGACATGTTTTCGGTTGCATGTGGAAAATTATTATCCTGGTTTAAGTCTTCTTTACGGACGTTCTTTGGAGAAGGTGTGCATTAAGAAGAGACTGGACAACCATTTGTCTGAAATAATATAGGGTTTCCTGCCTGAGTAGGGGGTTGGACTAGAAGACCTCCAAAGGTCCCTCCCAACTCTGTTATTCTGTTATTCCTTGCAAAGTGGAAGGCCAGTGAAACAAACAGTGGAGTAAAATACCAACTTTGAGATAAAACATTGGCCAAGCCCTTATTGATACTTATCCAATTCTGGATTTGAATGCCTGTTTAAAATGAGATACCCTGTTATAATTTCTCAATTTTTCATCTGGCCTTTGTAATCATGGACAACAGAGACTTTAACAAGCATTGGGCATGGAAGAAATAGGTAACGTGAGTTGTTTGCTTTTTTTTTTTTTACAGATTTCGACTCCTTTGGGAAGCTGAGGTTGCCAAAGTCGGACTTGAGAAAGCTTCTTTACACAAAGTGTTTTTTCAATTTCAAAGGACAAGGATTTTCATGGACATAATTGCTAATATTTTTTATACCAGTTTTGGTGTTTTGGGGCCAGTGAGTACCCAGGAAGTACATGTTGAGAGCTGACACCGATAACCTTTCAAAAGATTTTGGAAAGAGAATTTGATGGGGTGATTTCTCAAAAAAAAAAAAAATGTTCTCCAGGGGAAAAGAGGACATTTCAAACCCTTGTTGGAGGCAGAACTTTTGATAAATCCACCCCTCAATCAAAAGGCTACCCTGGAGTGGGTTTCTGATGTCTTTCTCTGGGATTGAAAGAATTGAAGCCAAATAGCCTGGAGTGGGACAACTTGGGACAGCCAATGAACCATGGCCAACTCACTGCAGCCAACATGATGTAGCCATCCCGCCATGGCCAACTCGCAGGGGGACAACTCACTGCAGGACAACTCAACAATTCAGTTTAAGTATTTAAAACAAATTTAAAAATCATCTTAATTTTTGTCATTCATATTTCATTTTGTCCCTCCTTTGGCATCCTTTCTTTAATGAGTCAATTCCACCATTTCTTTGATAGTAGTGTAACTCTTGTCCTGCGCTGAATTACCCTATGGTGAGATGCCCACGATGAGTTGGCTGGGGCAAATTGGCTACAAGTTAGTCATGGCAAGTTAGCCATGGAGTCGTGGAGAGTTGGCCATGGAGAGTTGATCATGGCGAGTTGGCCACACCGAGTTGACCATGCTGTAGACTCCAGTTGCTTTGTCTCTAAGAGCAAAGAGAGAGAGGGGGAGAGAGAGGAAGGAAGAGAGAGGGGGGGGGGGGGGGGGAGGGCGGGAGAGAGAAGGAGGGAAGGAGAGACGGAGAGAGGGGGGGATGGAGAGGGAGAGGGATGGAGAGGAATGGAGAGGGAGAGGGAGGGAGGAAGGGAGAGGTAGGGAGAGAGAGAGAGAGAGGAAGAGAGAGAGAGGGAAAGAGAGAAACCTATTTTACTTTTAAGACACTCATTGCAATTGGCATCTGCTTTGAAAGAAATTTCAAAACCAAATCCTCTCTCATCAAATTGAATGAGAATCAATAGATCAACCACCGGAGCACGTCTCTGCCTACTGCTATTGCATTTATAAATGAATTTTTTAAAAGAGAGAGAAAGAAACACTCATACCATATACAAAAAGGTCCTACTTTTGGTTCTTTGACACAAACTTGATAGAATTATTTTCTTAGGCTAAGAATCACATCAATCTTGGCATTGCCATCATCCTGAGTAATCTAGAACCACAGCTCGAGCTTGTGATTTTTGTAGCAGAACAGTGTTTTGATGATGATAAGGGTGATGTCCGTTCTGATGACCCAAACATTGCTAAAAGATGTCTTCTCCCAATTGTGCTTCAAATTGTAGAAAAACACTCAAAAGAAATCGACCAAAAAAAAAAAAAAAAGAATTTAGGTTGCAAATAATACTAGATAGATGATCCAATACTCTGAAGATTATTTTATGCTGGGAGAGTGATGGTTACACCTGTCAATCTTTTTGCACAGATTTTAAACTGATTTTAATCAGGCAGTATTGAATAATATCAACTGCTTTTAAAAAATATCAGCTTAACAACACAATTTCCCTCCAAAAAAATTACGTTTATGTTTTGGCAGACCCTGATCTTCCATAACATCCTCCAGTACAATGACAAAGATTCAAAGGACTTGCTGGAGGGTATTGGCCTCTGCACGGCCCTTTTTTTCATGGAAGTTTCCAAAGTTGTGTTGTGGTCATTGACGTGGGTTATCAACTATCGCACAGCTATCAGGGCAAAGGTTGCTGTGACAACTATCGCTTTTGAGACCTTGCTGACATGTAAGTCCTTGAAACACGCATCTTTAAGCAAGGTAAGATTTGGAGATCACATCCTCCTCTGATTTCCTATCAACATTTAATTTGCAAAATGGTACATGGTGGAGATATTGTGAATTTCTGATTAACGGGTAGAGTCAATAGTGATGGCTAATCATCATACAATACAGCATCTTTAGAATTTAATGTAAGGAATAACAGCCAAAGAGGACAATGCAATGGCCTTCATGTCCCTTTTCATAGCTTCCCAACATCTTCTTCAGAGGTAGTATTCAGCAGGTTCTGAGCAGTTCTGGAGAACCGGTAGCAGAAATTTTGAGTAGTTCAGAGAACCGGCTAATGCCACCTCTGACTGGCCCCACCCCCATCTATTCTCTGCCTCCCGAGTCCCAGCTGATTGGCTGGGTCTTCTTTGGTTGCCCTGCATAGGAGAACAGAGCTGGAAAGCAGGTTAGTGGGGTGGGGAGGGAATGGGGATTTTGCAGTATCCCCCTGGAGTGGAGGTTTTGCAGTATCCTTCCCCTGGAGTGGGGTGGGAATGGAGATTTTGAAGTATCCTTCTCCTGCCACGCCCACCAAGCCATGCCCACAGAACCGGTAACAAAATTGTTTGAATCCCACCACTGATCTTCTTGGCTATTGTGCCAATGATGGTCTACAACAGGGGTCTTCAAACTTGACAATGAACGTGGTGTAATCCTCCTGACCCAGCTAGTTGTCTTACATCGCTAATTCATATGAAGAATAATACATACATAATACATAATATATATTTACATTCTATATACATAATATATAATAGTTAGTAATTAGTTAGTCATATATAATAATTAGTCATTTTTAATACTCCTGATCCTTCCTTTTTTCCAACCAGTGGTAAAACTTTTTCCATATTTTATAATATTCAAATTCGTCCTTATTTTTTAGTTCTTGTGTCAATTTGTCCATTCCTGCGCATGTCCAAATTTTTCTAATTATTTGTATTTCGTCTGGTATTTCCCTACATTTCCATTTTTTGGATGTAAATTAATCCTGCAGCTGTGATTACATGTATTATTATATATATTATATCTTCATTATATTTCTCTAAATTCATTCCCAATTTTAAAAAAATCCGGTTTGTATTCTACTTTAATTTCACACATCTCTTCTAACCATCTCTGGATTTTGTGCCAAAAAAAATGGGCTTTTCTACAATTCCACCATACACGATAATACAATCCATTTTCCTGAACACATTTCCAACATATAGGGGATAAATTTGGGCACATTTTAGCCAATTTTGTTGGGGGGGATATGCCACATGCAGGATCATTTCTGAGCAGTTTCCTCGTTGCCTTTCAGTTGATTAATTTCTTAGCCAATGATGGTTTCCGGATATTTGAAGCTGCTTTGTTCGGCCCCATGCCTGTGCTGGCACCTCTTTTGATCATAGTTTGCACCATCTATTCCTGTGTCCTCCTTGGTCCGACAGCACTGATGGGAACATTCATTTATGCTGCATTTATACCATTACAGGTAAAAACGTTTTCCTTTTTCTACAAAATGATGATGCGTCATTTGTACTAGAAGATCTCACCGACGGTTCTCTCCCTGTGTTTATTAAAATAAGAAAGAAAGAAAGGAAAAAACCTCCCATTTTAAGGAAGTTGTTAGTGGCCACTAGATGTGTAAAGTAGGGTGTGGATAAAACATTCCAGTCCACAGGTGTTAAACTCGGGACGTTGTGCCAAAAATCTGTGCTGTTGCTGATGTCAGCTTTAGAAGCCATATTGAGATCAGATGCTCCCACGCTGCCACATTTGAACCTGGGAAAGTGGGAGGGGGGAATTTATTGGAGTATATCTAGTTAGACATAGCAACAATCTTTTTCTGATTCAAGGTCATGTTATTTTTGCACTTAAGTGAGGGAAAGTCTTAAGTTGGGACGGAGGGTGATTGGGGCATGTGATGTGCTAATGGGTGCAGGGGGATGGATTTTGTAGTTTTTACTTATTGCAAGGAAGCCCAGAACTTTCAGATTCGGGATTCCCCAGTTGTGCCAGTTTACTATCCAAAATAAAAAAGAAATTTTGAGAAGATTATTGTCTTGGAGTTATTGGGTGGAATGGAAGGTTGCTGGAATGCTGACAGCTCACTTTTTGCTCGCCTTCCTTGCAGATGCTGATGGCCAAATTAACGTCCGTTTTCCGAAGACGCTCTATTTTGCTGACCGACAAACGTGTGCTAATCATGAATGAGGTTTTGACGTACATTAAGCTAATCAAAATGTATGCCTGGGAAAAATCTTTTGCAAAAATTATCACAGGTACCTGAAGTGGGGAGGTGACTCTACCGTAGTTGGTTCGCGTTTCGGTGGAATGCTTTAAACGTGATCCTCCACGCCCCGATTTATGATTCACCTTCAATTGAAGGCATACAGGGTATAATTTTGCAAAATTATAGACCACAGTCTAGAAAAGACGGATGATTGATCCCTTTGTTCCACGTCATTACAGGATGATGTCTTTTTACCCTTTGCAGGCATCAGGGAGTCAGAAAGAAAAACACTGGAAAAGGCAGGATATGTCCAGAGCGTGAACTCTGCCCTTACCTCAATCGTTGCCACGTTAACCATTGTTATGCTGTTTTCCTTCCATACCCTGTTAAAGCGTGAACTCACAGCTGCTGATGTAAGACGATGCTTCTCTTTCTTAATTGCCCCGTTGTCTTTTATGATGGCTATCAATCCCTAACTAAGATGATCCCCAAAATGACAGATCAACAGTCCTAGGCTGCATTAGCAGAGGGATAGAATCAGGATCAGGCGAAGTAGGTAGTACCCTTTTATAATGCCTTGGTAAGACCACACTTGGAATACTGTGTCCAGTTTTGGTCACCAAGGTGTGTGCGTGCGTGTGTATATACACACACATGCCCCCCCCCCACACACACCAATATCATCATCATCTTTTAATGACCCCATAATCCAGTCCACAAGTCTTAAAGTTGCCAAGGTTGGACACCCCTGCCATAATCCTTTGTGGGATGGAGTCAGGGCCACTGAATGGAGCTGAGTGTTTACTGGCCGGATGCCCTTCCTGTTGCCGGTGTGGAGTTATATTCAGCAGATATATTCTCATTGTGCTCAAAGAGAGATAATAGCTATGTTGGGATTCTAGAAAAAGTGTAGAGAACAAAGATGATTAGGGGACTGGAAAACATATGAAGAAAACTATTCTCCAGAACAACTGAAGGCAAGACAGAGAAGCAAAGGATGGAAACTGGAGATTTTTAAGAAGAGATTGGACAGTCGCCTGTCTGAAATGATATACTATAGGATCTCCTGCTTGAGCTGAGGATTGGACTAGATCAGGGGTCACCAACCTTTTGGACCTCAGGGACCACCAAACTCATAATTTTAAATCCTGCGGACCAGAGACCCGGGGAAAATCCCCCCGCAAAAAAAAAGTCTGCAGGAAAATTCCCCCACCCCGTTTTCCTATCGATCGATTATTCTTTACCGTCTCCAGCTCCATTCTCAGAGGGAGAGATACTTTTGGCTTCATGCAAGGAAAGCAGCAGAAGTCTTTCTTTCTCTCCCCAAACTCCACCAGAAATGAGTCTTTGCTGGTGCAGTGTCTTGGAGCGGGATGCCTTGCAGGGTCCCAAAGACTCATTTCTGGCGGAGTTTGAGGGAGAGAAAGAAAGACTTTTGCTGCTTTCCTTGCATGCAGCCAAAAGCAGAAGAAGAAAGAAGCGGAAAGAAGCAGTCCGGTGGCCAGGCCAGGCACATGGGGTGAGTGGGGCAACTTCCCCCCCCTGCCCTTTTTCCCCCTCCCCTCACTACCTCGTGTTGTTTGCAATGAAAGTGATGCAAGCCTTGTGTTCCAGCACAGCCTGGATTAATTGCTTTGCAGGTGACATTTCTCTGTGAACCACCAAAATTTTCTTGCGGACCCCCAATGTTCCCCGGTCCACTGGTTGGCGACCACTGGTGTAGGGTATCCTGACTAAGCAGAGAGTTGGACTAGAAGACCTCCAAGGTCCTGCCCAACTCTCTGTTTACATCCCTATGGTCACATGATCAAAATCCAAAGGCTTGGCAACTGGCTCACCTTTATGATGGTTGCAGTATCCCAGGGTCACGTGATGCCCTTTTGCGACCCTCTGATAAGCAAAACCAAGGGGGAAGCCACTGAGCAACCATGTTGCTAACTTAACTTAACGACCGTGGCAAGAAAAGTCGCAAAACGGAACAAAACTCAGTTAAGAACCATCTCGCTTAGCAAACGTTGGGCTCAGTTGTGGTCGTCAGTCGAAGTCTACCGGTAATGTGTTAGTAATTTTTTTTGCAAATTCTGGCTGACTCCTGAGACAATAATTTAAGACAATGTGGAGAGTCCATCCTATTTAGCAACACCAAGTTGAGGGAATCGATGACACCAAATTGGGAAAATAAAACTTGGGGGTTGGAAGTTAGAACCTCTGAAAGGGATGAATCCCCCTCCCGTGTGATATGAAGAATCCTTTTAATTCCTTCTCTTTTACAGGCCTTCAGTGTGATTTCAGTATTTAATACCATGAGGTTTTCAATTGCCATTTTGCCATTTTCGGTGAAATCCCTGGCAGAAGCCAGTGTCGCCTTAAAAAGGCTGAAGGTAGTGCTTTTTTTGGGTGGGGTCGGGAGGAAATGATTACAGATATTTTGGGATATTTAAGCAAGTAGATAAACAAAGAATACCCTGTGTTAGTTACAGGATACACTGGATTCCTTATATTGTATCGTATCTGTCGATGCCCCTGTCAATGCCCCTTTTGCTGTCAATGCCCCTTAATCTATTATTGAAAAATTATATTATACACACAACAATGTGAAATCACAGTTCTTTATGAGGTACAGTTGCAGGAATGGAGTATGACTAGTCTATTGAAAAGAAGGACCAGGGAAGACATGATAGCAGTGTTCCAAAATCTCAGGGGCTGCCCCAAAGAAGAGGGAGTCAAGCTATTCTCCAAAGCACTTGAGGGAAGGACAAGAAGCAATGGGTGGAAAGCAATCGTGCCTACTGTCCCTGTCCTATTGTTTCTTTTTATTTTTCTTATAAGTATCCATCTCATGTATTCAAAACTATGTTTATTCTTCTACCTGTATCTTGTAAGCAATTGACAAATCAAATCAATAAATAAAATAACCGAGGAAATAAGCAACCTAGAACTAAGGAGAAATTTCTTGACAGTTAGAACAAACAGTGGAACAACTTTCCGCCAGAAGCTGCACATGCTCCAACACTGGAGATTTTCAAGAAGAGATTGGACAAGCATTTGTCTGAAATGGTTTAGAGTGTCCTGTCTAAGCAAGGGGTTAGACTAGAAGACCTCCAAGGTTCCTTCCAATTCTGGTATTCTGTTTAGCTGGTTTGGCCTTCATACGCATTGAGGTCCTCCAAAAAACCTAGGATGTCAAAAACTATTAACATAGTATATGTGTACATTCAAGCAATGTGGCCCTTTGTAATTGACTGAATGGAAATTTGGCATCGCGCAAATTTTCTAACTGTCATCCAAGATTTTTTGGTATGGCACCCAACGTACTGTCAATCACTGGGACCAACACAGCCAGTTTATGCCTTAATCTTTCAACTTCAGTTTTCTTATCTTATACTTCATACTTTCTGATCTTCTCCAATTCTTAGTCTTCTATTCTACTATGCCCTGTCATATCAATTATCCACACTTTCTTCTTTTTGGCCACGGTTAAATCTGGGGTGTTATGAGCCAAGATTTTACCATTTTAGCTATTTTCCCAACTCTATGTTCCCACATTGATATGTCAAAATATATTAGCTTATATATAAAAAGGAAGATAAAGCACAAGAGTCCCATTGCTGATTTTTCCAAAATACAACTAGACTTTCTTGGTTGTTTTTCTTTGAAAACATTTTGCTTCTCATTCAAGAAGCTTCTTCAGTTCTGAACTGAAGAAGCTTCTTGGATGAGAAGCGAAACCTTTTCAAAGAAAACAAACAAACAAATAAGAAAGTCCAGCTGGAAAAAGCATATTTGGGACAACTATGACCTGGATGATTGAGAATCTCATAGATGTAAGACACAAGATTTACAAGTTTCTGTTATCTATCAATAAAATATTCGTATATATTATTCAGTCAGGGTGGACTCAGCTTTCTGTCCTTCTGAGGTGGGTAAAATGAGGCCCCAGATTGTTGGGGGCAATATGCTGACTCTGTAAACTGCTTAGAAAAGGCTACAAAACACTGTGAAGCAATATATAAGTCTAAGTGTTATTGCTATTGCTGGCAAACACTGTCCACTGACAGTAGTTCAATTCTCATCGGCTCAAAGTTGACTCTACTTCCATCCTTCCGAGTTGGGTAAAATGAGAACCCAGATTGTTGTGGGGCCATAGGCTGACTCTGTAAACTGCTTAGAGAGGGCTAGAAAGGCACTGTAAAACGGTATATAAGCCTAAGTGCTATTGCTATATCTTAGTTCATTTTTTTCCCCTCTTGTAGAAAATTCTCACTATGAAAACGCCTTCTGCGTATGTGACGACCATGCAGGGCTCCAGAAATGCTGTGATGCTGAACAATGTCACCTTATCTTGGGAAAGTGCTTCTGGGGAACCCACCTACAGCAAAAGTGGGAAAGGAACACTTCTCCATCAGAAAAAGGTCTGCAAATCCCCTCCCAGAATAGATGCGGTCATTTCTCACTCTCAGATATCAATGATTAGGAGCAATATCGACTACAGCTTCGTCCTGAGGAATATAAATATTATAGTAAAGAAAGTAAGTATATGGGAACAATAATATTTTAAACCAAAAATCAACCTCAGTGATAATTTAACTCGTAAGAGGTTAAGATTTGGTCTGGATATTAACAACCTCTGGATTGATTACCTTACTTCTGTAATATAGCTTGCCTTCCATAGATGAACTGTGTATTGTATGGGTTATTGTGTGTATTGTGTGGGTCAGAAGGAGGGCTGAGAAAATGTCTACCAGCCCCTCACATCCTGGACATAAATTATTGCAACAATTCTCCCTTTGCTATCGGGCATTGCATGCCAAAACAACTAAACATGAGTTTTTTCTCTCATCCCATCACTCTGCTGAACCCCTATTTCCCACAGTACGGCCATAGGTCTATTTACCCTTGTGTATGGGTATAGTATTATTATCGGCCTGTCCACCTTCTCTACTTCTCCCTCTGATATCAATAGTAAAGGTAAAGGTTCCCCATGCACATGCGTGCTAGTCGTTTCCAGCTCATCTCCGTTACAAAGCCGAAGAGCCAGCGCTGTCCGAAGAAGTGACTAAACGCCGAAGGTGGACGGAACATGTTCCATTCCCATAAAAATGCTCCCTATTTTTCTATTTATACGCTTTCGAACTGCTAGGTTGGCAGAAGCTGGGACAAGTAATGGGAGCTCACTCCATTACGCAGCACTAGGGATTCGAACAGCCAAACTGACGACCTTTCTGTTCTACAAGCTCAGCATCTTAGCCACTGAGCCTCTGCACCCCACAGCTGATATCATTATTATGATTATTATTACCCTGTCGTTTTGCATGTACACTGAGAGCCTCTGTACCGGAAACAAATTCCCCGTGTGTCTAATCATACTTGGCCAAATAAAATATTCCAATTCTAAAGTATTCTAACTCTACTGCTATGTACAAAATATACTCAATTTTTTTCTTCCCAGGGCAAAGTTTTGGGGATTAGTGGCAATGTCGGAAGTGGAAAGACCTCAATCCTCAAGGCAGTATTAGGACAGGTATGTAAATGTCTACATTTTTTCTCAGTTCAACTCTAATGTAATATTTTACAATATTTTACAGTTAACATGGCTTTGTCCCCTGACGATGCTATGCTGATCAAGTCAAAACTTCAGTAATTCTTTGCTAGCCAAAGTTAGGCCTATCGTGCATGAACTATACATCATTCTGGTAATATGCTGATCTTCTCAGCTCTTATAGTTAATGAATACCAACATTATCCTGTCGGTAGCAGGTGTTTTACTATTTACTTAAACAGAGGAAGCAGATCTAAAATTTCATGCATTTGCTCTCCAACTCTGTATACAAATTGCATTTTGGTGCATTAAAATGTCCAGGACGGAGCCTTGAATCTTTCATTCAATGGATAGCCGATTTTCAGTTTGTGTATAAATATAAGAGGTCCTTATCAGATAGTATTTCCAAAGATCAGGTTTCGTAAGCTCCCCTGAGAAGACGTAGGAAAGTTTGTAGAATTAAATATTTATGCAACTGCAAACTATGGGAGGGACTGAACTGTACAGATGAAGAAAATTCAATCTGTCCGATAATTACTGGTGTAGGAGACATAATAAAATGTTTCTCCAACCACAATTCCAAAATTACAATAAGAGCAAAGAAAATGGTGTAGGGTTTCCTGCTTGGGAAGAGGGATTGGACTAGATGACCTACAAGGTTCCTCCCATCTCTGTTAATCTGTAAAATGATCACTTCCACTACATTACACAAGACCCAAATTTGGAGAGTAGAACTGATGTCTTATTTGGCCCTGATGGGAGAGCTGGTCTTGGTATGCAGAGTTTTCTCTTCCCCTTTCCTAATTTTCCATTATTTTCAAGTTCTCCGTCAGAAGCAAAATAGGTATCTAAGCACTGTGATTTATCACAGATAACAAGGAGACCCACTGGAGCAGATTTGACATGCAACCATTCCTTCTGTCCTCTTCAGATGTATCTGTATCATGGGAATGTGGTGGTGAATGGCACTTTGGCGTATGTGTCCCAGGAAGCATGGATATTTCATGGAAGTGTCAGGGATAATATACTGTTTGGAGAAGACTACGATGAACAAAGGTAACTATTAAAAAATGTCAGCAAAAACAGAGTTCAGGAGGGCCATGTGTTACCCACCTGAGTTCTGTTTTTGGCCATGATGGCCTCTTGTAGTCCTCTGCCAGCGACAATGGAGCATGGAGGGCTGCAGGAGGCCATCACATCAATGAGCTGGCTATGCCCACCATGGCCATTCACGTCCCCCCTCAGCCATGTTCCCATAATAGTCAAAAGTCAAACACAACCCTGATGCGACCTTCAATGAAATCAAGTTTGACTCCCCTGGCCTATAGCAACGTAATATGGCATCCAGAAGGTCCTAGTTGAGTTGCTTCATCTCCTGGGAGGGTTGGAAGAATCTACTGTGAACCAACACAAACAGCCGTGATTGGAGAACTTCCAAACTGACATTGCAGCTTCATGCACTGGGAAGTCTCATTATTGCATGAGATGCATGTCCTCTAAAACAACCACGTTTGGCCAAGTTGAGGAGAAATGAAGAACATATCCCTCAATCCCAGAGATCTGGGAGTCTGAGGGTTCTTCTGCAGTATCACCTGTTCCTAGCACTGCACTCTTCTAGACACATCAAGGACTACTCTCCTTGAAAGACTCTACATCAAGAAAAGAAAAAAAAACCAGTTGCTGGATCTTTGTTCTGCAATCTCTCAAAATTATAACTTTTTCAAGCCTGAGATCAACCTTAACCTTTGATTATGAGCCGTGGTGGCGCAGTGGTTAGAATGCAGTACTGCAGGCTACTTCTGCTGACTGCCACCTGCCAGCAGTTTGGCATTTCGATTCTCACCAGGCTTGAGGTTGACTCAGCCTTCCATCCTTTCAAGGTCATGTAAAATGAGGACCCAGATTGTTGGGGGCAACAAGCTGACTCTGTAAACCACCTAGAGAGGGCTGTAAAGCCCTGTGAAGCGGTATATAAGTCTAGGTACTACTGCTATTGATATTAGCATGATAGAGGCTGTATTTGTTAGGAAGCACCCAGTCAGGCAGGGAGGAGGACTCAAGCAGCGGATTAGTTTTGAATCATTGTACAGTCACGAGAGATCCAGGAGTGACACCCCTCTTGAACTCTAGAACTTATCTACCCGTGCCCAAGAGAAGGCAAGCAGTCTAGGGAGATCCCTGTATAACATGCAGAATGTAATAAAGTAGTTAGCTTGAACTCTACATGTGTGGATCTGGAGGTTGTGCCTGATGGTATTTTTAACCAAGAGGGGCTGACAAGACAAAATAATTTAAATGGGTTTAATTGAAATGTACATACTTGAAATTTTAGTGTGGTAATTAGGTACAGTTAACCTTAACACTCCCCATATATTCAATGTTCTTTTTTAAACGTGTCAAGACCAAAATTACAATTTGGTTGGCCATTTTAGAAGGTCTTTGAGGGCTTCACCCAAGGACTCTAAGGGCCACAGGCAGATCCTCAGCTGAACAACCTGCATTAGAGTAATCACGATAAGACATGTCTTAGCTTCTCATTTTCAAATAGAGTTTATGTATTCCCCAGGAAAAGCTTTGCTTTTAATGAAACCAAGGAAGCTGTTCTTTCTTATTAGTTTTCTAAATATTATACCCGACCAGTGTACTCAGCTGTGAGAGTAAATGGTTGCTAAATATCACTTCTGTCGTTTCCTCAAATTATAGTGGAGTGGATCAAAAAGAAAAAAGAAAAAAAGAAGAGAAAAGAAAAGAAAAAGTCTATTCCAGCTTAGCAGGAACAAACAAACAAGCAAACACATCTCCCAAGAGCACATTTTAACACCTCTTCAAAATGGCTCCAGGGAATATGACTAGCATGTCACGAGCCATTAGATGCTGCAGGAAAGCATTAAGCTTTGCTGCTGAAATGATGTGAAATAGAAAAGCAACCCTCAGTTCAAATATTACATAGAATATCTAAGGGTAAAATAATTGATAAGGCCCAGTTATTCAAGTGCCTTCTTTGCTTGAGTTATTTCCATCTCAGCTGGTTATTGTAAGAGCTCTCTAGCTTGAATTTTTTTTTTGAAGAGGTGCCATCTAGGGAAGAGTCAGATAAGAGGAAACACAGTTTCCACAGTTACGTAATGGGTGGAACAGGAGTTTTACGAGGGATCCTTAATGCTAAGTAACAGTGACACTTCAGTACTCAACATTAATTGGTTCTGGTAGACACGATGAGTACCAAACAAAAATTTTCCCATAAGGAATAATGTAAATAAATGTAATGTGTCCCAAATCCAAATGCAAATTTTTAAAGGCAATGTATTAAAAAAATAAGGTTGTATATAACAGAGTTGTAAGGGACCCTGTAGATCATCTAGTCCAATCCCCTACCCAAACAGGACACCGTACATACTGGTATCATTATATGAGAAATAAACCTAGAAATTAATAAATACTTAGATTAAATAAAATAAAACTTCAGTTTACCTGTAGTGATGAGGGGGAGAAAATACACAAATTGATTACAGAAGCTAAGATAAGACTGGAAGAAGATGTGAAAAGGGCAAGAGTTACCCCATGACTAACGTGGCATCCTTTGTTTCGGCTGGAAAGGTTAGCGAGTAACGAGGCAACCAGCATCAATAAGTTCTAGCTTGTGTGTTGAGTACTAAAGAAACGATGAGTACCGGGACGAAATTTTCCTATCAAAATGCATCGAGTACCAAATTCCACGAGTTTCAAAGCTGTTGAGTCCCGAGGTACTTCTGTATAAGGCTATACAGTTGATGGTGGGGAAATTGTACTTTCAAACTTGCAAGGTTCTATTAGTGCAGCTTTACAATAAAAAATAGAATTAGGTTATTTGGTTATGTCTGGTCTAGCTGTTTAAGGCTGAGACGGAGTCAAGACTGGAGAACTGGCAATACTCAACACTGAAGGGGTCTTCTCCAATAATAATCACAATATTGCTACAAGGCTCATTTCTAGAAGTGAAATAAATCTGCTGAGAATCGTTGCTTGCAGTTCAGCTCAGTTTTAATATTTTAGGTATAATCACATCATCAACATTTGCAGTCTCAAGACAGATATGGAACGTTTATCCTATGGAGATATGACTGAAGTAAGTATGATGTGTGTTTATTTAATTTCAGGATGCTAAATTAAACTGCCAACTTACTTTTTGCTTATTTTGTGTATTGGTATCTCACCTCATGGCAACATATTTGGAGAACTCCCTTGATTTTATACACCTGGTAACTCAGTGAGGTACGATGGATGGAGAGAGAATGATTGATGTCCAATCTCCTGGCCAGTTGGTTAATTAATGACAGCATTATATTTGCTTTTACAAGAAAGAAAAATGCATCACTGGGCCTGAAGCCAATTGGTAAAACTAACCTTAGATATTCTACCTAGTATGAAGGGTTCAAAACCTCAATGTTAATGCATGTTAAACATCTTCAGATGTTATATCAGATTTGTGAAACAGTGATACAGATGCACACACGCAAAGCATGCCCACCAAGCCACGCCCACTGAACCGGTGGTAAAACTTTGTGAATCCCAACACTGGGTGACATGATTCTGATTTCAGGGCTGCTACAGATATAGACTGACTTTCAGAACATACTAAGCTATTATTGGGTTAGTCATGGCTTGTTGGATAAATCACGATATGTTGTGCGCAAGGTAATAAGCCACAAAGCATAGCTAATACACCCCTGGCTTCAAATAACATGGTAGGCTAATGTAAACTGGGATTGGATCCAGTTTGCTGTGGGAACTTATCTGTCAGTTGATCAGTAACGGGTAGGCCAAGATGTTAAACCAATCGTGTTTTGCTAATTTAATTTTGATGTGTTTCATAAACCCAGCATTTGTCATAATACATTGAGCCTAAATTGGGTCATGTTGTATTTTTATCACCAAAGAATTAGTGGATCTGAAGGAGAGAGAGAGAAAAAAGTTGCTTTAAATATTCCTATTTTATTGTCTGAGCAATCTGCTGTATTTTCCTGGAAATGACTGTAATACTAGCAAGTCTGAACCCTGGGGAGGAAAAAAAATCTATTCTAACAAGATTTGGCATTTTGTCCCTCCAAGCTAGCTTGTCAGTTTACATTTTCATTCTCGGCACTCTGGCTTGCAACACGATCGAACTTGGGACTCATAGTTACGAAATAATTTTGCCCTGGCTACTCTGCTCAACATCTGTGGACGTTGTGAAAATGGCATTATGGCCTCACTGGAATTCTTATAGCTGCTATTGATTTCCGAGTTTCTGACATGCTGAGAGATTCCTAGGAGAAAAATCTTGAACATATCTTTTTAGGAATTCCCTGTAAACATACATGCCATATAATTGGTTGCTCGCTGTAAATAAAATATATGGCGAAGGGCCAGGATTGTGGTTAGTTATGGGGCAGGAAGGAACCACACAAACATTATCCACAGTCCCAACCCTGGAACTAATAGCACCTCACCATAACAATTTCCCAAAAGGAAAGAGAGTTTTCTACCTTTAAACCAAGCCTCTAAGTCAGGGGTGTCCAACCTTGGCAACTTTAAGACTTGTGGACTTCAACTCCCAGAATTCCTCAGCCAGCAAAGCTGGCTGAGGAATTCTGGGAGTTGAAGTCCACAAGTCTTAAAGTTGCCAAGGTTGGACACCCCTGCTCTAAGTCAAATTAGTCACTCTGCAGCTGTTCTTAGAGAAAAAAGAGAGAAAAAAACTGGCAAAAGATCAGAGGTCAGGAAAATATCATAATTTGTCAGCCCTTTCAGGTCAACCAAGTCAGAAAATAGATGCCACCAGGACTGCTGTAAACTATAGTTGCAGAGTAATGTAAAAGAACTTGACCGAGAGTTTCTCCCCTGTGTTATACCAAAGAAAATCAAGATGGAACAATCTTGAGTTTCTTTCTCACTCTCTCCTCTCTTGCAGGGCTAAGATAGTGTTTTCCTAGGCTGTGGAGTACCTTATTCCAGTACATTCCTCCATGTAATTCAAGCAGCAATCAACTTCAACTCTTTAGAGGAAGTGATAGGAAGGATGCGTGGTGTGGTTGAAGCCCCATTGTCAACAAGACAATCATAGTTGTGTGATAAATCTATGGGTGTGGATGTCATCTTAACTTTTTTGTTTTCTCTCTCCTTTTCATGCATGGATGTCCCTGTTCCCTTCATAATTTATCAGTACTTGGGGCCTAATATTCTTCTTTTTTGCCTGCTAAGATTTATCTGTCTCTCTGCAGAATACAACAGTTGGCCAAAATATTTTTTCAGAAAATTAGGCTGACTCTACGGTACTCTAAGATGAACACCTAGCAGCTCTATCTGCTCTAACAAAAAAGAACATTATGATCTATGGAATAAAGAATCAGCCCTCTGAATGTTTGCCATAAATGCTGAAAAATTTCATAACCTGACAATGTCACATAATGTTCACATTGCAATAAGGATAGAAAGCTGGGGGTGTTTTTTTTAAAGTGGTTATATGAATACTATATATTTGGGTTTGATTGATGTCTCCCTTCTGTTTTTTTTAAAGATAGGAGAAGGGGCTCTGACCCTTTCTGGAGGTCAGAAGCAGAGAATCAGTTTAGCTCGTGCTGTGTATGCAAACCGAGATATTTATTTATTGGATGATCCTTTGTCCGCCGTGGATGCTCAAGTTGGAAAGTCTATTTTTGAAGAATGCATCAAGAAAGCTCTTAAAGAGAAAACCATCCTACTGGTATCACATCAGCTGCAGGTAAACAAATTGCTGAAAGAAATGGGAAAGAACTGTATAGGGCCATGAGGGTGAACCTATGGCATGCATGCATGCCTCCCGCCATCCAGCTGATCTTCAGGTCTCTGCCACACATGCACAAGGGGGTGCACATACGGGAGTTGAACATACATACCTGGGTGCACATGTGCAGGGACAGGGCTCATGCACAGGGGTCTTGCATGCATGCTTGAGGTAATGGGGGTTGTGCGTGCATGTGCAGGGGTTGCATGCACGTGTGTGGGGGTGTGGGGGTCATGCATGCATGTGCGGGGGCAGGGCACATGCGTGTTGCATTTTGGGGATACATGAGCACACACACGCTCTGGGCACTTGGTGCTGAAAAGGTTAGCCATCACTGGTATAGGGAATGGCTATGAGGAATAGCATCCTAAATCAGAAATTCACCCAGGGATGGAGTTTGGATGAAAGTAAACCAATATAGGTAGTGATGGGATTCAAAATAATTTAACAACCGGTTCTCTGTTCTAATGATTTCTTTCAACAACCAGTTCACCAAATTGCTCAGGAAGTTAACAACCAGTTCTCCTGAACCGGTGCGAACCGCTGAATCCCACCACTGAATATAGGTAGACACAATTGAGTCCAACATTTCGGTGGCTGAGGGAGACGTTTGTTAAGTGAACTTTGCGCCATTTTATGACCTTTCTTGTCGCAGTTATGAAGTGAATCGCTGCAGTTGTTCAGTGAGTAACTTGGTTGTTAAGTGAATCTGGCTTTTCCCCCATTGACTTTGCTTGTCACATGGCTGCAAAAGGGGAATCAGAGGACCCCAGGGCATTGCCACCGTCATAAGATAGGCTCAAGATCCAGAGGGATCTTGACAGACTAGAACACTGGGCTGTATCTAACACAATGAAATCCAATGTAGAGAAAAGTAAAGTCCTACACTTAGGCAAGAAAAACCAAAAGGACACATGTAGACCGGGTGAAACCAGGCTTAGCAGCAGTAACTGTGAGAGGGATCTTGGGGTCTTAGTGGACAACCAGCTAAATAGGAGCCAGCCGTGTGCTGCCAAAAAAGGCAACACAATCCTAAATTGCATTAACAGAAGGATACAATCAAGATCAAGGGAAGTACTAATACCACTCTATAAAGCCTTAGTAACGTCACACCTAGAGTACTGCATCCAGTTTTGGTCACCACACTATAAAAAGATGTTGAGGCTCTAGCAAAAGTACAAAGAAAAGCAACTAGGATGATTAGGGGACTGGAGACTAAGGCATATGAAGAACAGTTACAAGAACTGGGCATGGCTAGTCTAGTGAAAAGAAGGACCAGGGGAGACATGATAGCAGTATATTTGAGGGGCTACCACAGAGAGGAGGAAGGGGTCAAGCTATTTTCCAAAGCACCCAAAGGCCAGACAAGGAATAATGGATGGAAACTGAACAAGGAGAGATTTAATCTGGAAATAAGGAGAAACTTTCTGACAGTGAGAACAATCAACCAATGAAACAGCTTGCCCTCGGAAGTTGTGGGAGCACCATCACTTGAGACTTTCAAGAAGAGATTGAACTGCCATTTGTCAGAAATGGTGTAGGGTCTTCTGCTTGGGCGGGGGGTTGGACTAGATGACCTATAAGGTCCCTTCCAACTCTGATTATGTTATAAATATGAGTCAGTTGCCAAGGGTCCGAATTTTGATCACGTGACCATGGAGATTCCACAAAGATCGTAAGTGTGAAAAACAATCCTAAATCACTTTTTTCGGTGCCATTGTCACTTGAACCACTCTTTATGAACAGTTGTAAGTCAAGAATTATGTGCAAATCATTTTTGCAAGATGGATTCTGACCTTTTTGGAAGTCTTTTAAAAGCTTTTTAAAATAATTTATAAGATGGTGTTGGTTTTTTAAAAATAATGTTAAAGACTTTATCGTCCTGGGACCTTTAAGACTCCTTTAGTCTCGCTTTCTTCTGAGAATATGCCATTCTATTCCCCAAACCCCAATTTACATATTTTTTCATCTTTCTTCGTCAGTATGTCTTCAATACTTAGCATGTTCAACCAATGTTCATCCCCAAGCTGCTTTCTACCACCAGCCCTCCATTCCCTCCCCCAATTTTTTTTTAATTCCTGCAAATCATTAGAGCCTCTTCAGAGCTGCTAATATTTTTCTCTGGTGTGTGAACGTTCCCTTCATAATGACCTACATTTGGAGAGTAAGTGTGCTATTAGTTTAGGAGTAACAAGCATTCTGGGTTCTATGCCCTTGGAGAGAGACAATGGCACAGTGAGTCTAACATAACAGAAAATGAATTAGAGCATTTGGCAATGCTCTCACAACATTGAGCGGGGAGGTGGTGGTGTGGTTTGGTTTTCAGGCAGTGATTGTGGGTTGGAGTATTGAGGTCAGCAACCATTCATCCTTTCCACAGTAGATGCAACATTTGCGGGTCTTTTGAGTCTTTGCCACCGGGTTGTTTAACCATTTGTTGTGGTTAAAAGACTTCTCAACAAACACCCCCCACCATTGTATTTGGTTATTTCATCTTCCCTCCTCTTTTTCTTGGACAATAAAATATCTTTTCCATACCAGCAGAGGGCACAGAAGGCATGAAATTCTCTTTAGAGCCCTTGATCCACTTAAAACAGAACAGGAACAGAGATGCTCATTTTAAAGAATGGGGAGAATTTGTATCGTCTGACCTAAACAGAGCCCCTGGGGCTTACAGATTGTACATTCTTCCCAAAGCAATAGCGATTTGTTGATATCTTTTTGTTTTCTGTAATAGTGCTGCTGTTTCAGCCAGGCCTAAGAAACCAGACTGTGCCCTATAAACATATTTTTCTAAAATCTGCACTCTTTTTTTCTGTTGAACAGAAGCAAATCTGTGCCTCTCTGTCTCTGTGTATTTTATCTATCTACCTTTTTTCCATTTTGTGTGTGTGTGTGTGTGTGTGTGTGTGTGTGTGTGTGTGTGTGAGAGAGAGAGAGAGAGAGAGAGAGATGGAAGTATATATATCTGGCAAAATCCATTTTATTGGTTTGATTGAAATTTGTGGTCCAGTTCAGTTCCAGCTTGAATCCACTTTGATTTCAGAAATCTTTTCAATTCACTTTGAATGTCTAACCTAATACTTTCATTCAAACTTCAAAAAAATTGATTAGAATAAAGGGCTCTGGGGCACACACAGAAATTCTTCAAAATGATCCAGATCAATTATTCAGTGGCATTAGTTTGACTGGGCGGTTGCAACTGACTTGTTGATTCAGTGCGGAAATCTCATCTGATCCAGAGATTGGTTTCCATACGGCTTTCAAATCAAACCTCCCAATTGAACGTTTTTATGCTGCCACAATACGGCATACTGCAACCTGCACCCGTCCATCCACCTTTCTTCTCTCTTTTTTTTAATTGCTATGTTTTATTTAATTGAATCTCTGTATCTTTCGGAACCAACAAATCTTGCAATCTTGCCTGCTAACAGTCCATTCCCAAGAATAACCAAAATGGGAGGTTTAAGAAATGGCTTGCTTAATATACTATCCAATATCCAATCCGCACGTAGAAAGGTTTAGATGTTGGCCTCCTTTCAAAAGAGAAAGGGGAAGGCTGAGTGTGCAAGACTGATAAAAGGAGGGAGGGGAGGAGTCCGAGGGACAGAAGTTAATCCATGATAAAAATGCAAGACTGATAAAAGTGAGGCAGGGACAGAAGTTAATCCACCCATGTCCTTGGATGGCATCTAGAAGCAGCAATGATTTGAGAGGTAAAGTGAGCTGCTGACACCTCTTCCTTTCCATTGGCATCCAAAGATTTTTCTTAATTTTAGCATTCTTCAAACATTGCCGTCTTATCTCTGACTTAACCCGGGTGGCCGAAGGAACGTTTGCTCTTTTTCTTCCTTAGCTTCATGTCCAGACTGCATAATTTGCCTGTAAGAACTTTCGAAACTCTTATCCACCAAACGAGGACATACAGGCAATCCTGGACTTACAACAATCCGTTTAGGCTGTAAAATGGGGCAAAGCTCACTCAACGACAGTCTCGTTAAGCAATGGAAGCTCAACTGTGGTCATAAGTCAAGGATTACCCATCCCCAGACCCAGGAAAGAGGGAGGCATGAGAAAGAAACTCAAAACCAGTGGTGGGATTCAAATAACTTAACAACTGGTTCTCTGTCCTAATGATTTCTTACAACAACCAGTTTATCAGTGGTGGGATTCAATTTTTTTTACTACCAGTTCTGTGGGCGTGGCTTAGTGGGCAAGGCGTGGCTTGGTGGGCATGGCAGGGGAAGGATACTGCAAAATCCCCATTCCCTCCCCACTCCACTAACTTGCTTTCCAGCTCCGTTCTCGTGTGCAGGGCAACCAAAGAAGACCCAGCCAATCAGCTGTGGGCATGGTTTGGTGGGTGTGGTATTCTGTGGGCGTGGCTTGGTCAGCATGGCTTGGTGGGCGTGGCTTGGTGGGTGTGGCAGGGGAAGGATACTGCAAAATCCCATTCCCTCCCCACCCCACTAACCTGCTTTCCAGCTCCGTTCTCCTGTGCAGGGCAACCAAAGAAGACCCAGCCGATCAGCTGGGACTCAATGGGAGGCAGAGAATAGATGGGGGCGGGGCCAGTCAGAGGTGGGATTGGCCGGTTCTCTGAACTGCTCAAAATTTCCGCTACCGGTTCTCCAGAACGGGTCAGAACCTGATGAATACCACCTCCGCAGTTCACCAAACTGCTCAGAAAATTATGCAAACTGCCTGAATCCCACCACTGAAGACAACCTCACATTGATATTGTTTGATGTAGAGGGGTCAAATTCTGCTCTTCTCTACTACAACAATAAAGACCATTTAGAAAAATGATTACAGGTAGTCCTCGACTTACAAACCGTTTGAAATTAAAATGGCCGCGTCTCTTCCTTGATCTTGTCTCTCTTGAACACGAACACCGATCCCGAAAGTCTGCAGGCACACCTCGACTCACAACAGTTCATTTAGGAACCTTTCAAAGTTACAACAGAACTGTAAAAAAGTGACTTAGGACCGTTTTTCACACTTACAACTGTTGTAGCGTCCCCATGGTCACGTGATCAAAATTCAAATACTTGGCCACTGTCTCATATTTATGATGGTTGCAGTAACCAAGAACTTAAAGAAGATTTATTAGGAGTAAACATGCAGGCACTACCTGGGTATAGCCGACTCTGAGACACATCATTCATTGTCACCCTTGACCCTGGTTTCCCCCACCACCCCCTGGGTGTATCATAATTCATATTCTCCAATGGGACACATCCATAGCCAAGAGTCATCAGTCATGCTCTCCAGTTAGAATTTTGCGCGGCAGAAACTTCACTCACCTAGAAACTATCTTTGAAAACATTTATGGAATGCAAGCTGCTTGCTGCTCCCCCCTCCCTTTCTGTTGGCAACTCTACAAAGACCATAGACCTATTTTATGAGTTGACACAGTGATTCACTTAACGAACTGCGGCAGGAGATGTTGTAAAATGGGGCAAAACTCACCTAACAAATGTCTCGCTTAACAAAATGAAAGTTTGGGGCTCAACCGTGATCGTAAATTGAGGATAGCAATATAAACGAAAGGGCCCTGAAATACAAACCCTACAACCTTCTCATTAGTTTACTGATTCTTTTCTCTTTCCTCAATACCCACAGTATCTGCAGTTTTGTGATCAAATCATCTTGCTGGAGGACGGGGAGATGTTGGAATGTGGGACCCACCCGCAGCTGTTGAAAGCCAAGGGCCGTTACTCTCAACTCTTTTATAAACAGCGTGCAGAAGACATCATTGTGGGTTTTAGTTCTCCAGGCTTATTTTGTGCTGCTGCCTATTAGCTTACCCAAAATTAGTTTTCTGATACTGGTGAAAGCTGGTTCTAGAAGACCTTTCTTCTCATCCAGCATAGAATTTGAAACTTTTGATGCCTTTTGTGATTTACCAGCAAACATTGTGTAGGCGAGAGACATCCAAGCGATTGGACAAACATTTGTCTGAAAACGCTTATAGGCTTTCCTGCTTGAGTGGGAGGTTGGATTAGAAGTTCTGAATGCTCCAACGCTTGAAGTTTTTAAGAAGAGATTGGACAACTATTTGTGGTATAGGGTTTCCTGCCTGAGCATGGGGTTGGATTAGAAGACCTCCAAAGTCCCTTCAAAACTCTGTTATTCTATTCTATTCTATTCTATTCTATTCTATTCTATTCTATTCTA